TCAGGTAGGATTCATTCCTGGAAGAGAAGGTAGAGATAATGGCTTGAGATCATTGTTCCTCTTACAAAAGGTAAAAAGAGAAAAATTGCCAGCTTTACTTCTGTCAATAGATGCTAAAAAGGCTTTTGATAGGGATAACTGGGATTTTATGATGGATATGCTAGAGAAATTGAAATTAACAGGAATAAAGTTTGGACAAGTGGAGCATAAAGTGGCAGCATATGCTGACAATATGTTGTTTTATATAGTAAACCCTAGAATAATGTTGCCTAACTTGAATGAAATTGCTAAAACAATATGGGGAGATATCAAATCTGAAAATATCAGGCAAACTATATTCCATTAGTAAACTAAATAAAAGGAGAACTGGGGAGGTTGTCAAAAGGCGGCGCTTCCTGGATAGGTCATATAAACCTGGTAAAGATGGTGCTAGTCCCAAAAATCTTGTATAAGTTCCATATGCATCCAATATATATACCAGTATCCTTTATATAGAAGATGATATGTAGGTTTATCTGGGCAATAAAAAAAAAAGAGAATTAGGCACAAGACACTTTGTAGGGCAAAAGGTAATAGGAGTTTGGGGTTGCCAAATGTTAAGAGTTACTACCAAGCAGTGTTACTTTCACGAATAATAGATTGGTTATTTAATTCACAAAGAAAAAGTTTGGTGAATATGGAAGAGACGTTGAGTAAGACACAGTTAGGAAAGATGGTTTGGGTCCCACACAAGTTTTGCACATTAGATGGGAACATCAGCTCACTGACAGAAAATTTTTAGTGTTTGGGACAGATTGCATAAACAAAAAGGATGGAAATATAATTTGGGTATGATCCCCTTGGTGGGAACGGAGTATTTCCCACCTGGGAAAAATAAAATCTATGGGAAATGGATTAAAAATCAGAACACAAGCTTAAAAGATATATTAAGGGGAATATGCACACTTTTTTTGATTTAAAGGAAAAAAAAAGATTTATTTTTCACTTTAGATGAATAGCGGTATGGTCAACTTGCTCAGTTTGTTCCAACACTTCCACTACCACTGAGGATGTTGAGGGATCAGTACCCGCTGGAGAAATTGCTGAATTTAACTATAGCCCTGAAACAGGGCACCTCTAAGATATACAAGATCCTTATGGATATAGAAGGTACTGACCCCCCCCCTCCCGTTCTTGGGAAAAGGAGAGTGGGAGCTGGGATCAAAGTTGTGCAAGCAACAGAGGAATAATTTATTTAAATTAGCACATGAGGTAACAAACATTAGCACGGTGGAAATGAAGTATAAATGCATGGCTAGATGGTATATCACACCGAGTAAAACACATAAACAACAAGCAGTAATTTCACCTTTATGTTGGAGAGGTTGTGGAGGAAAGGGCACGATGGCATATGTATGGTGGGAATGCCCGAAGATACAAGAAATACTGGAAGGAAGTATTAAAATATGTTTAGGAAATATGTGGGATTACTATACAAAGAGATCCGTGGAGTTGTTTTTTGTATAAATTTGAATCTTTGACAAAACTACGCAAGAACATGGTACCTTACCATCTAGTTAGCGTGGCTAAGGGTCTGATTCCTAAATTTTGGCTTGTCCCTGACCCACCGAGTATGAATGACTGGGTTAATAGAGTAAATAACATTTATAGGTTGGAGGAGTTGTGTCATACTGAAGAGGATAAAATGGAAAAATTTAGGAAAACATGGAGTAAGTGGTTGGTCTTTAAAACAACTAAAAGATATTTGGAAATACTTGGCGGTGGAAACATTCTGCTTTGGGGGTGTTTTTCTGCCAAGGGGACAGGACAACTGCACCGCATCAAAGGGACGATGGACGGAGCAATGTACCGTCAAATCTTGGGTGAGAAACTTCTCAGGGCATTGAAAATGGGTCGTGGATGGGTGTTCCAGCATGACAGTGACACGGCCAAGGCAACAAAGGAGTGGCTCAAGAAGAAGCACATTAAGGTCCTGGAATGGCCTAGCCAGTCTCCAGATCTTAATCCGATTGAAAAGCTGTGGAGGGAGCTGAAAGTTCGAGTTGCCAAACGTCAGCCACCAGACCTTAATGACTTGGAGAGGATCTGCCAAGAGGAGTGGGCCAAAATCCCTCCTGAGAGGTGTGCAAACCTGGTGGCCAACTACAGGAAACGTCTGACCTCTGTGATTGCAACAACAAGGGATTTGCCACCAAGTACTAAGTCATGTTTTGTGAAGGGGATCAAATACTTATTTCCCTCATGAACATGCAAATCAGTGCATAAATTGTTAGACATGCTGTCAGGAATGGACTTGCCAATGGTGGTGGGACTCACCTGCCTTGTGGGCTGCAGTACCAGGGCTGGCCAGCTGGTGCTCTCAGCAACCAGAAGCTCACTCCTGCAGTCGGCCATCACCTGAGGCTGATTGCAGGAGGTGTATTTAAGGAATGGCCAGACCTGGAGTCAGGGCCTTGGTGTATGTTTCCCATGAGCCCCTGTACCTGCATCCTGTCTGCTTCCTGCCTGATTCCTGATTCTGCTTGATCCTGACCCTGAATGAACTCTGCCTGTCCTGACTTTGGCTATTCCTGACCACTCTCCAGCCTGCTCCTTTGGTACCTTGTCTGCCTGATTGTTCCTGACCCGGCCCGTCTGACTACGCTCTGCCTACTCCTTTGTGTCTTGTCTGCCCGATGATTCCTGACCCGGCCCGCCTGACCACTCCACCTCACCAGCCCTGACTGCTCTTATCTGTGTACATTCCGTTATCAGTTGGAGGTTTGGTTTTGTTATATTGTGCGTTATATTTGTTTGTGTATAACCCTTAATAAATTATATTGTTATACCATACTTGAGCCTGCGTTTCCCTGTGTCAGTTCACGCATCTCTGGTCTTACTGGGAGCCCTGACACATGCATTTCTTTTGAATTTTGTGCTGCTATTCTGTCTCTCGGTGTTACAGTACACCTACCATTCAATTTTTAGACTGATCATTTCTTTGTGAGTGGGCAAACATTCAAAATCAGCAGGGGATCAAATACTTATTTCCTTCACTGTATGGATTGTATGACATTGTTTGTCTAGGCCTGGAAACCAGGACGTAACTGGAGAAATGTTAAAAAGAAAAGTTTAAAACAAGTATATATGATATATTTTCCTAACTATTCACTAATGCTAGTAGCATAGCGATTAAAGTGATTGTAAAGGCAATTTTTTTTTCTTTTAAAACAACAAACATGTTATACTTACCTGCTGTGTGCAGTGCTTTTGCACAGAGCAGCCCGGATCCTTCTCTTCTGGGGTACCCTTCCTGCTCTCCTGGCCCTTCCATCCTATTGAGTGCCCCCACAGCAAGCAACTTGCAATGGGGGCACCCTAGCAGGCTCGGAGTCCATTCAACGGAGCCACGGCCTGGCCCTGCCCACTCTCCCTCCTCATTGGCTCACTAGCTGTGATTGACAGCAGTGGGAGGCAATGGCTCCTTGTGCTGTTTCAGCCATTAAGAAGAGGGAGTGCAGGGATAGCTGAGACTCCAGTGCACATCGCTGGATCAAGAGGATGCTTAGGTGTGTATTGGGGGGGGGGGGGGGCTGCTGCATAGAGAAGGTTTTTTACCTTTATGCATAAAATGCATGAAGGTAAAAAACCTACTACATTTGGAACCACTTTATCAATAGTCAATGTTGATTGAAATAGTGAAATTCTGCTTTAAATACATTCTTCTCTTCATGTTATACAAATGAAATGAGGGGTAAAATAAACAAAACAGTACTAATAATAACATTGTGTTGAATGCACCCCTCTTGCTGACAGAAAAAAAACCCTAGAAAACCTAATGTGAATAATTCAGTAGGATCAGATTTGCTACCAATATTCAAAAAAGGGCCAAGATAAATGTCAGAAAACTAGAGACCAGTCATCCTAACATCAATTTTATGCAATGTATTGGCATGAATAGTGAGGCAATATCTGAGAATTACCAGAAAAAAAAACAGTATCATTAGTAGCAACCAATATAGATTATTTATAAAGGACCATTCTTTGTCAGGCCAACTGTTTAACATTCTTAGAAAGTGAGTAAATAAAGAGTCCACGCCTGTAGGAGATAGGTAGAGTTGATTGCCCTTTGACATCACATGGTGGTTTTACATGCTGTCACAAGCTATTCAGCAATAACATGCAGTGCCAAGCTGCAGCAAGCAAGGCCAGAAAACTATTAGCATGCATTACAATACAAATGTAATAAATGCTCTGCTGTGTTTGTAAGAATAAGTTATGCAAATAAAAAGTATCTAATAGCAGATTGGAACAATTTGTTTAACCCAGTGGGTAACACCATTATTTCTATAGTGCAGTAAATATACCAAAAACACATACATATAAAATCAGTGGGTTAAAAAACCATAAATTGAACAAAGTCAAATAAAAAAAATATAAAATAGTGGTTATTTAGATAAATAAAATAAAGTCCACATAAGTGAAATAGACTTTTGCATATTTGAGAGCTCCAGCACCACTCCAAATAAAGCTGTGTTTCCTCAGTTTCACTGCCATCACCACATGCAGCATCTTACCAAATGGGTATACCCCAAACTATAACTAGGTCTACAACAGCCTGTTTGAATCAGGGATCAGCAGGAACAGCTCCACCCCCAATGTATTTCAACCAACAGGGGATCCCCTTGAAAATGTCATATTGGATGAGATGCAATTCGTGTACATGCGATTGCTTTCCATTTCTATGTGCGCTACATGGTGATTTTGCCTTAACCTGCCCAAGAAAATGAAGATTGTCTTATGTTTGTGAACATTCTTAGAAGGAACAAGTGGGTTATCACTTTTTTCCAGGTCTAAAAAATGCATACTCAGTTTGTGGATAGATTTATTTTAAACAAATCACATATATTTTGATGTTTTGAAAAAGATGGCGTTGCTGATATGTCTGTATTTTCCATTAAACATCCCCTTAGAATGGAAAGGTATCTAAAAACAAGAAGAAAAAAATGAAAAGGCAACAAAAGCGCCAGCAAAAATTGCTAGAAGAGCGACTGAGAGATATTCACAACATGGAGGAACTAGGATCTAGTAACAGCTGTTTTCTAGACCATTGTTACCTGATGCACCATGATCAGGTCTGCAATTGCCACCAGGGAAGCCATGAAAATGTTGACAAGATGGAGAGTGAGTATTTGGTATCTATTATATATCTGTTATTATATAGTCATAACATAATGTTGTATTAGCAATCTAACATCACCAAAATAAGAAGAATAGCTTAGGAGAAATTAAGTTTGTTAAAGGACTAGATATCACAAACAATTGCTATTTTCCATAAAGTACTGCTTTCATGCGTCTTATATCCTTTTTTTCATCTCAGTGGTGGACACTCTGCCTACATGTACATAGATGGGCTTCTTGATTTTTACAATTATGCATAAGAATTTGTGTGTTTGTCATGGCCACATGTAATCTCCATCAAGGGTGTTTGTAGCAAAGTGACAATACAACAGCATAATTAAGAGGCAGTTGTCACCCTTAATAGTAAGTGCCTGAGCAGGATCGGCATGTATTATTTTAATGAAAGATTTTAAAATATTGAAAACAACTTCTGAAATGGCAGGATCGGCATGTATTCTTCATGTATTCCCTCTCCAGAGATCTTAATGTTCCTGTGTCCACTGTGCACAACAAGGCGTTTACAGCCCATGGCACTGTAGCTGACCTCCCTGGAAGTGAATGAAAGAGAAAAATTAATCAAAGATTGCAACAAAGGTTAATATAAGTCGTATAAGACATAAGTCGCCATCTGAATGAAGAGGAACGCTATGGTAGGAGACCCAGGAGGACCACACTGCTGACACAGAAGCATAAAAAAGCCAGATTGGAGTTTGCCAATACTGGATGTCTTGACCGTGTGCATGACATTAGAATTCTTTGGTAGTCTTCAGATTTTATAATGTGCAAAGTAGGACCCAGTGTCAGAAAGTTGGGTCTCCATCAGAGATCCCATGATCTGCATGTCTTATGGCTGGACAAAGCACACGTCAAAAAGCACCCTGAAATGGTTTAAGACTGGAGAGTACTGAACTGGCCAGCAATAAGTCCAGATCTTAGTTGGGAAAAGGAACAGCAGTTGGGAAAAGGAACCCTTCCAATCTGAGAGACCTGGAGCAGTTGGTAAAAGAGAGGTGGTCCAAAATTCCAGTATAGATGTGTAAGAAACTAATTGAATTCACAGGAAGCTATTGATTTCAGTAGTGTGCTACCAAATATTAAATTGAGGGTGCCATTAATTTTGTCCAGTCCATTTTTGGAGTTTTGCGTGGTATGTGTCAGATTTGGCTTTTTGTTTCTCCACTTTTTTGTGTCATACCAATACAAACAAAAGAAATAAACATGAGAATGCCTAAACATTTGTAATTGCAACAGTTTTCTGAGCGAAGCAGTGTTTTATCTGATAGAAATGCAGGGGTGCCAATATTTTTTTGCCATGGCTGTATGTCATTCACTCTCACTGGAAAGCTCAAATGAGCTTATATGCCTACAAAAGAGGTGGAACGGTTGAGCAGCACTTTCAGTTGTGTACATTGATTCAAGTATTTACTTTAGGCTAATCTCCTTTGCATATGTATTTTTTCAGAGGTTTTAAAGTGGTTAAGACAGTTATATTGGTAACATGCTGTAGAACAGAATGTCATCTCTTTCTGATCTCATCTGGCTTATGTAATTTTTCTCACTGGGAAGCCCCTAGACAAAGATGTGTAATGGTTGAGCAGTACTATCCTTCAACTGTGTAATATAAAGCCATGTCGTTGTATTGGCACTTAAAAATAATACCTTTTTTTCCCACAATAGATCTTATCCCTTCTGTCCCTGCAGACAATGAGGGTGCAGACTCCTCTCTGGGAAGCGGAGGGACCACATGTCTTGCTCAGAGCCCTCAGTCATCTGGGACATATGAGAACTGCAATGGATTTGGTACAGTCCCTCGTTGCATTAGCCCAGACACACACACCTCGGGCTTCTCTAGCTCAGCCTTTTCTGCCACCTCCGGCTCTGCCATATCTGGGTATTCTGGATATCGAGAAAGAGGAGGACTTTTGTCTCCAAATTGTAAGTTTGCCCTCATTTTAAAATTCTTGTTGCCAGGCTGGCTCCGGTTTAAACACTTAATGAGTTATTGATGAAAAAGTCAGCATGAAGTCAGAACTCCTGATCTGCGTACTTCTTGCAGGTCAATGTCGTAGGATATGTTCACATTACTGAATGTCAGCAATGCATGCTTTCACGACATGCAGAGACGCACAGTGGTGCCAATAACTTCTAATTGGACTTCTTTTCCAAGTTTCTCATGTGTAGGGCAACCCTTTGAAATAAATTGCATGCCCTACATGCGATGCATGGAAACATGCCCATGCTTGGTTGTGCCTGTTGACATGATCCAAACCTTTAGAGAGTATTAAACCACTGGATTAGTGAGGTAGCCAGGTAAACTTAATTTTAGATACTCTACTGCTGCTTACGTTGTAACACCTGAATTTCAAACACTTCCTACAACCACTTTCTACTTCCTGAGTGCCATGGTCTTCCTGCTTAATTACATGCCAAAACTTTATGGTTTCAGGTGCATAATTACTTAACTTGCTAGAGAACACATCTTCTCTCCCATAATAGAGCAGGGTAGGATGAGCGTCCACTCGTAACCAAATATATAGTAAGTACACCTAAGAAAGAGAAGAAATGAAAGCACCTGTCCCTTAATCCTTTATTAATTACATGAAATGACAAACATATACGTAATGAAATAAATAATAAACCTCTGTGCCAGTTCCAACAAAAGGAATAAATAGACATTTTTGTCTTATTTAAATTGCAGCACTGCACTTGAACATGTACCCCCAGTAAGTCACCTATAGAACTATGTAGTGAGTGGTAATAATAGGATTTTTAACTTACATGTAATTTCCTTCTCTTGGAGTACAGTTCAGGACACTGGATCTTTAATCTTAACCATGGGTTTTATGCAGCTACCTTCAGGTATTGGACCATGGCAAAAAAGCTACAGGCCTCAGTTCTTTAACAGAAGGGAGATTATAGGTGTAGCACTGCCCCCTTAGGAGTCACTAGAGATTTGGGTCCCCCTATAGTCTTGCACAGCCAGGTAACACGAATTTCCTCCCAGACATGCACTCCAGAGACAGTAAACAGTCCTTAAACTTGTTTTTTTGGAATTTATTAGGGGATTGAAACTTGGATGGGGATGAGGGCTAGGGAGAGGGATTTCTTTTCTTGGAGAGCTGTCCAGCCTCTCCTTGTGTACTTTCTCAGACCCCAGATAAAATCTCCTCTTCACCCAGCTGCCTGAGGGAAACCATGGCCAAGAGGTCCCAGAAGCTGCCACCTTAAATGAAAGCAGTCCCAGATGGTGGCTAGTCTGGTTTCCCACCCGAATACCCTTTCCCCTTATGCAGCCCAAGGGGTGTGGGGCTACTTACTTCTGAGGCTGAGAGATCCTCCCTTCCATTTCCTCCCTTCCAGTAACTGTATGCAGGCCCCTCTCCTGGTCCCCCTCCCAGGCTCTACACACCATCCTGCTCACTCCATCTTCCACCTGAACTCTCCTGCTGCTGAGCAGGCTCTGCCACTCTTAAGGGCTGTTCTGATCCTATGCCATGCCTCCTGCTTGGGGATTGGTCAAGATCCCTTAAGAGTGCAGACCAGCCACTCCTCACCCCCACCCACTTCTCTAGGTCTCTAGATCAGGGGAAAGTTCTAGAGAGCTGATCTGCAGAGCCTCTCAGCCCTGACCAAAATTTGACCCCTCTTGACTATTTCTCCCTGACTACTGCTCAGCCTCTATCTAAAAAAATAATCAACTAGCTCCCCCTAGCTGTCCTAGGAAGGTGCTACATAGGGAAAGGGATGTGCTGAGTGGAGCTCTCTGCCGGAGCACTGAGAACTGAGTGATCAACAGTCTTTTGATTGCTCCTTTCTCAGTCTTATAGGCGGCAGGGGACATTGGTGCAATGCTGCATCCACCTAGGATTATGAATAGTATGATTTCTAGAAAAAAAAAAGCAAAACACCCTAAACTTCTCTTTTAACCATGGGACATCTAAAAGCAGTCCAACTGGAGAGTGAGCAACACAACAAACAAATGCTATTCGGCCCACAAGCAAGTCAAAAGAAGGCCAAAGAAGACCTCAGGGACAAGGCTTGAAGTAGTGAGAGGTACCTAAATCTCAGGGTTTCTTTTTTTTTTTTTTTTTTTCTGTTAGTCACATGATTATTTCATAAGCTGGAAACTACATTTCTAGGGGAATTCTGGGCATCAGCAAGAAGACTACAGTATGTCTGATTTTCTTTACAGTTTTAGAAAATACAACTCTCGTAGTCTGAACTAGAAAGTTAATTTTTAGTAAAAAGTAAATATAGAAATACAGTATGTAACAAGTATGGATAATCTGCTAATGTTTTAACAAAAATGGAGTTACCCTGCAATTGTTAACCTGTTTTTAATTTAAGACCAGACTCCTTTAATTCTAAAAGCAACTTATTTGTAAACTTCACACTTGAAGTATAACTAAATGCAAACATTTTTTTTAAGTTTTGGATAGAGTGGAGGTGGAATAGAACTCGTTAGGTTTTTTTTTTTTTCCCCCACAAAGTTTATTAAGAAAATAACTCAATAACTCAAAGCATACAAATTGTACACGGAGATACAATGTGCCAATGAAAAATGCAGTAGAAAACAAATAACAGATGTCAAACAGTAAGAGATACTAAGGTAAACAGACTGAGAAAGCGATCTCGTGTCGCACGTATTGTTAATAAAGTTCGACTAGAAAAAAAAAGAGTATATGTTCGCAAGCAAGAATAAAGTCACACATGGCGCATGCGCGGCCAGGGATGATGGCAGACGTGTTCTGCTGAGCTCCGCTCATCCCCGGCCAGGAGTGACTCACCCGCTCCGCACTACAGCTGATCTTCTGCCTCGGGTGAGTCACGTTTCACCAAGCACCCGGCCCAGCACCAGGGAGAGGCTTCTATGGGGAAGATAGGGCGCTGGAAGCCCCCCTCCCCGCAGCCTCAGGACCCGCGGCCCTCGCCTCTGCGGCGCTTCCTATATAGGCCGCAATCCCCGGCCTCTAGTGAGGATAGAGGTCCGAGGAACGATCCCGGACCTCTAGCGGCCGCGGAGGGTACTGCACCCTGTATAATCCCAGCACAGCTGCAAACCTCTGCTCCGATCCTTCCACACATGGGGGATCATGACCCCCAATTGACAGCAGGAGAGGCTATGGACAACCCTACTCCAGGGGGTCTCCCTGCCCCTGGTCTGAATCTTCAGCAGACAAAGTCGTCTCCTCTGCTCACAATCTCCGCGTTAGACGACAAGCTGCAAATTTTTTTACGAAACATTACCGCCTCTATAGCCGCTGAAGTGGGAAAAGTGGCTAATGAGCTCAGAGGGGAAATAGCCCAGATTGGGGACCGCACGGATAAGCTGGAAAGTAAGTTTGATGATTTGGTGCAATACGTTCACGTTTTGGAGGAAGATAATGCCTATCTGAAACATCCCATGTCCCAAATGCAGCTCCAGCAAGAGGACCTGGAAAACAGGGAACGGCGCCAAAATATCTGTATACGTGGTTTGTCCGAATCTGTTGCTGATGCTCAATTGCACTGCCATCTACTGTCCTTCATCGATACTGCCCCCATGGTCCCAGAAGCAGATTGGCGGATGGATAGGGCCCATCGCTCTCTGGGCCCTAAACCGATTGAGGGAACCAGTCCACGTGACGTTATAGTCCGCTTCCACTACTTCCAAAGTAAAGAAGCCTTACTATCAGCAGCCCGCCACAAATCTTCTTTGGAGTTTAAAGGTGATAAACTCCAACTCTTCTGTGATCTTTCTCCGATTACTCTTGCTAAGCGACGGGCTTTTAAGCCGATCACCACACATCTTCAACATCATCGTGTCCTGTATCGTTGGGGGTTCCCCTTTAAGCTGGTGGTTGTTAGGGACAACACTCATGTTGTCCTCCGTGATCTTCAAGAGGCGGATTCTTTCCTTAAGCAGTTGGGACTTCCACCTCTACCTGATGATATGTCCTCGCCGCCGCCTACTCCATCCTGTCCTTCTGCCACCCCTTCCAAGATATGGACACCAGTCCGCGGAGGTCGGAGGAGACGCACACCGCAACGTCCACGCCCTCCCCGATCAAGCGACCCTCCTGCCTGATGATTTTCAGGGGTGATCTTTTGTGCCGAATTGGGTGTTTTGTTCGGCCATAGCCTTGCTGGGTGCATTTTATTTTTATTTTGTTCTTGTTTTTTCTGGCCGGGTTTGACGTCCTCCCGGAAGTGTCGGATGTCGTGCTGCCCTCGATACTGTCTAGCCAATGGCCTAGATGACTTGGGCTTAGTTGACGTTCCCAAGTTTATATCCTTGCGGATACCTGCTCTTCATTGTGTATTTTTTTCTGTTGTGTTATGTTTTCTGTTTTCTGTTTTTTTTTTTTTTACTACATCGATGGTAATTTTTCCATTTGTCATGCTAATACATGTAGCCCAGCCACTGTTATTCTATAATGGCTTTGAGGTTTCTGTCATACAATGTTAAGGGCCTCAACTCTATTCAAAAAAGGTGGATGGCTTTGAAGGAATTTCGATCCTCAGGAGCAGATATCATTTTTGTCCAAGAGACCCATTTCAAATCTACAGGCTCCTTTCGTTTTGCATCGAGATTTTTTCCCCGTGCCTACTCGGCTTTTGATCCTTCTGGGAAGGCCGGAGCGGCAATTTTGATTGGGTCACATTGCTCCCTTCGGGTTGTTTCCTCCAAAGTTGACCGACAGGGTCGTTTCATTCTTCTGGAGTGTATGTTTGGTGAGACTCCCCTAGTTCTGCTGAATTTATACGCCCCTAACACAGGCCAATTGCAATTTCTATCCCAAACACTCGCCGAACTGGATTCCTTTTCCACTTCGCAGGTGATAGTTGGGGGAGATTTTAA